GCCCTTACTATATGTGCATTTTTGGACATCGCGGGAACGTTCGACAACGTGATTCCTTCTATTTTAATTAAAGATTTACAACGTTTTGGGATTCCGCCCAAAACCGTTAAATTCATAAGTAACCTTTTTTCCAACAGACAAATCACGTTCATTTATGATGGCGCGCTTAAAGGTCCATACATCGCTTTGAAAGGTACCCCTCAAGGGTCCATCCTTAGCCCTTTGCTCTACTGTGCGGATATTAATAAATGTCTACACGAGGACACTCTTATCTTATATGCGGACGATGTCGTTATCTTCTCATCAAATCAAAACGTTGAAGATGCTAGATCATCGGTTCAATCTTCACTAAACAATATATATATGCTTACTTGAAAAATAGGGGCTTGGAAGTTTCCCCCTCAAAAATCCAATGGATGCTCTTTACAAGGAAGAGACAGTCACATCCGGACATTAAACTACACATTCAGAATGTAGAAATTCCTAGAGTACAATCTGCCATCTTTCTGGACTTCTCTCTCGACCCCAAGTTGAGTGGCAAAGAGCACCTAAAGACCTTAGTCAATAAAGGACGTAATCTTACTAATATACTAGCAGTTCTCGCAGGCACTAAATGGGGATCTCATCCAAGTTTACTTCTCACCCTTTATAGAGCTGTATTTCGTTCTGCTATCGAATACGGATGTCAAGTGTTCAAACTCAAGGACAATAAGACTGAATTTTTACAATTGGAAAGGTTAGTCAACAGAAATCTGCTCTCAGTTACCGACTATCTACACCTATTAACGTCATTATGGCCGAAGCAAAGGAAACTCCTCTTAACATCAGCTTTGGCTATGTGACCTCGAAGTTCATCTATAAGGCTTTCTCCAGGAAAAACTCCCCAGTGCTACACAGCTTTGAAAACTTAGAACAGACTGCATACTCTCCCTCAAGAAGACAGCCTCTAGCTACTGTACCTGCGTTATCTACACCTATTAACCAGAAATACTCACTTAAAATCATCCGCAGATCCAACATGCCTTATGTTTATAAACACAATTATGAAAGCTATACTTATGTCCATCAATTTGACAATTCCCTCACCATGTTCCTAAGAAAGCGAATAACCGAATATACCAAGCCCGATTCCTAGAAACTATTACCACATACGCCAATCGCGGTCCCATTATTTACACCGATGGCTCTAAGTTCGTTAGCGAGGATCGCGTGGGCTCCGCAATTTATTCAACAGATCTTAACATTGCACTCAAGTTCAAGCTTCCCCCGGAGACTTCAATTTTCTCAGCCGAGTCTTGGGCTATTCTTCAGACGATTAATCTTATTGAAGATGTTGTGATGAGGCTTCCATCTGTTCTGACTTTTGAAGTGCTCTTCAGGCTATATCGTCTCACAACTCTAGAAATGCGAACCATATTACATTAGATATTAAGGATCGTCTGTCCTTTTTAACACAACATGGTTTCAAAATTAATTTTATTTGGACTCCTGGTCATAAAGGTATGATCGGTAACGAGATTGCAGATCATCTTGCCAATGAGACCGCCCTTACACCGGCCTAAATTTAAAATACTATTTCAAGACTTTTTTATGATCTCCAAGCAATCCCTCAATACTAAATTTCAAGCACACTTAGATCACTGCGCAACATTTAAAGGGCAGCTATATGATGATTTTCATAGAAGTAACTAAGCCCTGGTTCTATCGTAAAAATCTTAAAAGAGAGGAGATCGTCACCATCTCCAGAATTAGATCTAACCATTATAATCTAGCATACAGCCTGCATCGTAAAAATATTGTCAATTCGTCTGCATGTCCCTGTGGTGACCCAAATCAGGACATTAATCATATTCTCTTTTATTGCAAACTTTGTATTCATAAATCGACTAAATTTCGTGATTACCTGAAAAAACACTTCCCATTTCATCCCCTTAATATTCATTGTATGATTAACAATCCCCCCTCTACCTTGTGTCGTTTAATTACTGCATATCTCAAATCTTTAAACCTCAGTATCTGATTTCCATGAACATGTTTTTTCTTTAAGGGAGGGGCGGAGAACTCTGTTTCTCTCCTCTCCTCCCAGGCGGCGCCCCCGCCTGGTTACTTGTTTCAACTACTAGGTTCACCCTGGTCGGAATTGCTGCTACTCCGCGGCAAGGGCCAATTATTATAACATCGAATAAGAAGAAGGCCTGAGTGCTATACTTCCGCACCGGAAAACGAAAAGAGAGATTATCAAGGTCTTACACGTCATTACATTCATTTGGGTTACCTGAATGTTTTCCTGAACGCTTCGAATCTTATAGTGTATGCTCTATACTAACAGTCATTCGGCATGTCGTCGCAAATTGTCCCGATTGCTCCGAAGTTTTAGAAGGATTCGTCGGTTATCTAGGGAGAAGCAACCGTGGAATGATTCGGAATCCACTATAATCAGGATATCCAGAGCACGACTTTAACCAATCAATTTATTGGACAAGTCCGATCGAGAGCTCTCTCGCGAATCCACGACGCTTGAACTGCCAGTTTTATTCCAATCTTGTAGTCTCGGTTTGCATTGATTTCAAAATGCAAGCTTCAGATTGGCTGTCGCAACAAACTTGCGATCGGCTTGCGTCTAATGTAGAATGGACTTAAGTCCGGATCTACAATAGGTGTTTTAAGCCATAAGAAATTGACCAACTATAGTTAAATGCAAGGAGAATAATTGATTGTGATTCGTTCATTCATTAGGGCATAAGACTTAAAAATCTATTGTAGATCGGATTTAGAGAAAGTATGTACGGACTCCCTAGCCTGTTAGATCTATATTAAATTTGCATAGCTGCACAAACGTATGTATAAAGAAAATTATCCAATTGTATTTCTCTTATAAAAACGTAAGATGTGATTAGATAATTTTCTTTATGCATATGTTTATGCAGTTATGCTAGTTATGTAGATATACCATTACGCTCCAATTTCTATTTTCATCAGGGGTGCACTCCATTATTGTAACGAAAAATACCAAACACATGTGCGTGTAATTATAGAAAATGTGACCGCAGTATATGCTCGCATCGCAATATTTTACAGCTGTGACAGATTTCCTAACCTCAATAGTTCTCAAATTGAATGCTAATATCTTGGTTCTCGAATCATTACTATGAATATTTTTCTAGAAATGTGGAATGTACTTAAGTCCGGATCTACAATAGGTGTTTTAAGCCATAAGAAATTGACCAACTATAGTTAAATGCAAGGAGAATAATTGATTGTGATTCGTTCATTCATTAGGGCATAAGACTTAAAAATCTATTGTAGATCGGATTTAGAGAAAGTATGTACGGACTCCCTAGCCTGTTAGATCTATATTAAATTTGCATAGCTGCACAAACGTATGTATAAAGAAAATTATCCAATTGTATTTCTCTTATAAAAACGTAAGATGTGATTAGATAATTTTCTTTATGCATATGTTTATGCAGTTATGCTAGTTATGTAGATATACCATTACGCTCCAATTTCTATTTTCATCAGGGGTGCACTCCATTATTGTAACGAAAAATACCAAACACATGTGCGTGTAATTATAGAAAATGTGACCGCAGTATATGCTCGCATCGCAATATTTTACAGCTGTGACAGATTTCCTAACCTCAATAGTTCTCAAATTGAATGCTAATATCTTGGTTCTCGAATCATTACTATGAATATTTTTCTAGAAATTTTTCATTTTATTTAAAAACGCGTCGAATAAGTCTAATTTTATTGATTTTTGAGATACTAAAGCAAAACTGTACAATTGAAAAATGATAACTGTAGAGAGAAATTGTTATTTTGCGGCAATATATAAGATATTATAGCATCATTAGCTAATTTCATAACTATAGATGTTATTAAACCCGATTAGGACTGCCGCAGAAATCCGTAACTAGACGTAAATTTAAATCAATGAGCTAATCAGAATATTGCTTATTTAAATTTATATTATATGATCTAACGGAAATAGACAGCAGGAAACTTGACAATAAGGCAAGTTTCAACCAGAATTCAAATAAAATTCGCCTTATTGCGAGATTATGGATAAGTTTACTAGCTGTTATTTCCATTTCCATTACGTAATCTAAAGCAATATCCTGATTGGTTCATCATCTCAAGTTCACGTCTTATGGTCACTATTATAGAATTTTGTGTGCGGTAGTTCTTAACGCTCATTTTTAATGTCAAAAAACAAATTACGAGATAAAAACTGACGAATATCAAGCATCAAGTTTAATTACGTGACCTACTTTGGTGCTAAAAATCATTTAGCGTCACTATGAAAAAGCACCTTGATTAAAATGAATGAAAATTACTAGTTAACATTACAGATTGCATAGAACATCGATTGTGAGATTTTTACATTGTCAGCAGAATTGACATCTGGAGATATAGAGATATATGGCGCTTTTTGCTTCAACCTCGAAACAGCAAACCGATGAAATATCACAATATATTACAAAATTGGAAAATGGTCATCTGTACACCGTGGGAACTCCGGAAGGACAAATTGGACATCAGTTGATTCGTCTAGATGTGTATGATATTCACGATATTGAAAATAAGGAAAAATGGTGGAAATATGTAAAATTGAGAACACAATTTTTGACATCTTCCCTCAGAGATCGTAAACAGCAAATGGTGAATCGGCTTTTGGATTGTGTAGCCGACAATTTGAAGAAAGTACCATCAGTAATGAAAGAAAGAAAAAACGTTTATTAAAAAATATAGGAGAGAGGAAAAGACGTTCTGCATATGATATTCACACGTTATATTTTTACACATATTTTATTTACTTACACATATCCTATTTTATCACATATTATATCACTATCTCACTTTTACTTGCAATTGTTCCTTGAACTGAGAGAGCGAAACACATATCCTCAGCGGGACATGATAAAAGAGACGCACTGCACGATTATCTCATTAGTTTGGTTTAATCGTTTGTGGCGATATCTCGACGTTCATCGTTATGGTGCCAACATCCGTTGGTTTGCAAGGTATATTTCTTATCTCTTATTTATTTTTACAAATATGTTTATTATTTTTTCTTAAATCGTTGTGTATGTTTTTTGTTAAGGATTTGTCGTGAATAAGCGATTTATTGTCAAAGAGGTAGCAGTTTTAAAGAATGGGAGCGAGTTGACACACTATATTTTTATATGCCCGATGCCATAGCGTTTTCTGACGAAAGCTGATCAATCGCACACCTCATGATTGATGACACATCATTAAGGATTGCGGTGGAATGATGGGATGATACCATATCGTACGGCGCAGCGTCTGATTTCAGAAGTTGTTCAGTGGAGAAAGTGAGGCAATTGTTTATGTGAAGGGACTTGAAAAACGGGGGTGGTTACTGGACATTTTGAACAATGACGACGTTATAGTTGAAACGATCAATGTGCATTACGACGAGATTGAATCGCTTGAAAATTTAGACGCTACTAATACGTTTCAGTGTGGAAGACACAGTAAATGTTGCACGTTACAGAATGTATTAAAATTATTTAATCAGTGGACGCGATCAAAGTAATTATAATATATATATATTTGTATTGTCATGAGCGTCTGTTACCGAGTCCTACGTTGGTTACATCCTGTATAAAGAAGAAGAGGTGTTGGAATTTAGCTACACATCATTAACGGAGAGAGATTGGAAATCACTGTTCGCGAGAGATTTTATGGATGAAAAGCGTGGTAGTTCTTGTTGACAATCGCGCGAGAAGTTATGAGAATACAGTTGTAAAAGGTATACGAAAAATCGGTAATATTGGAAGGATGTATAAAAAAATTAAATTCATATTGTTACGTCCAAACCCTTGGAAATTTGGTCAAGGAGACAATGAGGGAGAATGGAGAGGATATGGAAGGACAATTAGACTCAATCTCACAGGTATACAGGCGGAGGCAAACGCCTGTGAGTATGCACCTTTTCAGTCCCGGGATATGGATCAACGTCCGAAGGGATGCTATGACACCTGTTCTGCTGGACAATGCAAACGTCAGTCCTACTTTTTGGGTTAAGGAACTTAATCCTTTTGATCCAGGACTGGACTTCGTGCGACTTCAGGTTAGAGGGAAGTAAATGCGAGAGGTAGTTTTAATAAAAGGCAGAGGAATACATTAATAAAGTTACATTTATTAATAAAAAGAAAGAATAAAAAAAAGGTTTTATACATAATAAAACTTCTCTCTCCCTTTTTTTACATAAAAATATAAATTATAGTTTATGGATGTATGCGTGTGTGTGTGTGTGTGTGTGTGTGTGGAGAGGAAAGGGTTAACGGGTATGAGAGGGGGCGAGGAAAGTGTTGCAGGAACACATCGGGATGAGGTGCTTGTAGAGGACGGTGTAAGATGTGGAATTTCCGGGGATGTATACAGTGACTAATCTGTCCCCTTCGTTGGAGGAGGACGAATATAGCCTGAATATCCGATCCCAGTCGATCGGCTGGGGATTCGGTTGAAACGGGAGAGGCGGGAGCTGATTCAAGGGAGGAGGGAGTGAAAATCCTTCTTCGCGAGAAGGAGAGGGAATCATTCCTTGAGAGGAGGAGGGGAATAGTCGAGGATAAGATCTAATGGTTGTGTCTCTGTTGGTGAATAGGAGATCTATTGTGTTGAATTGTTCGCCAGTCGGTTGTAGCGGCGCGTTTGTGGGTGGCCCTGGGGAACGGTTCCGCCTACTCCTCCGGACATAGGAGGTTCGTCCGCGTTTCCTAATGGTACGCACTACAAACCGAAGGATTAAAATGACGTACATGTATGTTCTTGGAAACGGACACAAGTGTACATAGGTACAGATATATGTGTTCCCATGCGGGAAACGAGGGGATCGACTGGAAGTAGCGACTTACTGTTAGTTGCCCAAGATATCAGGTAGGTTCCGGTGGGCGACTCGTGGAAGGAGATCCGTCGTCTGCGGAGAGCATCAGAAGGGCAGTCGCAGTGGCGTACGCCTAATGATTCGGTGCCGATTTGCCCAGAACTTCACACTCGTATGGAACTGCGAACTGGCGTGATTAGCGCGAGTTTTAGTAAGTCCCGCACTCCCCGCGATAATAGGTCAACTCGTAGACTGCATGTGAACTGACGCGAACCGAGTTAGCTTGATCTTTTTACTGACGCTCTGCGCTTCCGCGGGACTTCTATTTATCTATTTATCTATTATATATATATTACCCGAAAAAATCGTATTTGATCTAAAGTACATAGAGTAGTTTTGAGAAGAAGAGAAAGTGATTTATGGTTTTCCTTAAAAAACCAAGATTGCTCCGAGACGGATGACGAATTCTGTTATTATTCTCGCGGAAAATATGACTAGATAAGCAGATGATTACCATGCTATCATTGTCAGTTGCGAGTTTCGTTTCAGATAACGCTTCTGGAAGTTATTCTATGCGTTTACGTTTTTTAAGTGCGATATGGCACCTGTTTTCTAAGATAAAATTGTTAGTCAGTCTCGGATGATAAAGCCTAGATTTTTACTATTGCGTGACTATTCGGTGCATTTATAATGTCTTTTGCAATCTTGTCTCTTTTCGGGCCTACATTAATTAAGGTTATTCTTTCCGGGTTGATTGGCTCGCAGACGCCAACCATAGTCGCGACGTGGAGCCAAAGAAAAAAAATTGTGGCGTCTGTAGGTAACACAGACAAAAGTAGGGGGTTCAAAGTCAAACCTATGACACCATCTTTGTCCCCCACAAAACCATACAACTTTTGCCTGAAACATTTTTTCTTGAATCAAAAATAAAAAATTTTTTGAGATGATACATTAAAATGAGACACTCTGTATGCTACATGATATTATATATTAAATAAATTAACTTTTTTCAAGATCTTAAAAAATATATGAAATATAAACATTATTTATATTATATGATTAAATAAGAACTTATAATGATAGTCTCATAATAATAATGTAATCGATACTTTATATAAAAATGTTTCACATAAAAAAAGTATTAGATGTGCTGCTCACACACTGCAATTGATGATGCATTAAAAAAAAACAAAACCTATGTCACAGTTAATTTTGAAAGTTAGAAATTTAACAAAAAAACTCAGAACTCAAACATATTCATATATTTAATAAGGAAACAAAACTTAAAAAAACACACTTGATTGTCCAACTCAATGATGTTCTACAATAGATATGCTCGAAAACTTGTTACTGTTAAAAGATTATTGTGAAGAGCTATCTACAACAAAATTTCAAAATTTCGTTACATTAAAAGATGATGAATGGTCAAAAATTAAAGAAATATGTATAGCATTACGATCATCAAAAATTTGTACCAAAAAACTTCAGATAGAATAATTGACTCTCAGTGAATTTTTTAGATTTTGATGTGAAACAAAAGTAGCATCAGAGGCAGTATGAATTCCTTTTTCTAAACTTATTGTAGAAATGTTACTCCGCGAAGAAAAGTTAATAATGATATATTATTATCTGCGGTATATATGCATCCTCGATATAAAGTGTTATTAGACAAATACAAAGAGCTTTAAAACATCTTTGGGTCAAAATAGTATCAATAAATCGTAGTTATACAAATCAATTAACCAATCAAATGAAAATTTTGGAAATTCTTCAAACTCAAGTGGAACAAATTCTTCACATGATGAATTTGAAAATCTTTTGAAACTAAAAGAACAACACACTTTAATAAATTCATCATCGAAAATCAGATTTATGTCTTCGTCGAGCAGAAAATGAACTTGAGAGGTATAATACTGGACAAAAAAGAATTGATAGAAGAATTAATGTATTAGAATTTTGGGAAGATAAGAAAAAAGATCAACCTGAATTATATAAATTACCAATGATTGTTCTAGCAGTACCTGATACTCAAGTCAGTGCAAAACGACTATATTATATAGGTTTAAAGTTTATTTTATCTTCATAACGAACAAACGTCAGTGAACACATCTTGGAAAACCAATTGCTTGTTAGAGTTAATAGAAAATTTTATAAAGAAGAATCGTAAGTTATTTTTTACTTTGTTTTTTTTTAAATAATAATTTTACATAAAATAATAAATGTACGTATATATATATACATAAAAGTAATTCCTATTTTCTTATGTCGTAATTTAAATGTTCCAGAAAGTCATATAAAAAAAAAGATCATTAACATTTACTGATTCAAACGAATATTCAGTTTCAAAAAGGTTAAAAATACAGACAAATACTAATTCCAACAAAGAAGCAAATATTAAAGAAAAAGATTGTTTTATTGTCGACAAAGGAAAAGAGAAAGAAACTATTGTTTCCTGAAAGGATGAAAACGAGATAAATAAGAAAATAATTGAAATAGGAAGTTTAGGAAAGAATCACCAAATAACCATGTGACTCTATTGGTTAACATAATTTTTGTCAAGTGATAAATTCTCTGTTAAGTTACTTAAGTTCTCTAAATTGAACGGATGAACACGTTCTCTCTCCCTTTCTCCCTCCCTCTCTCATTCTCTCTCTCTCTTTTCCCCCTCCTCCTCTCTCTCTCCCTCCCTCCCGGGAACGAGGAAACAGTCCTACCAATTAACAAAATCTATTCCAGTCCAAACCCAACTAACCAAAGGAGATTGATATGAAAAACACGGTTCTTCGAACTTCAGCGAGATTTTTTCAAGAGTTTATCCAAGAATTTGTCGAAGATATTTTCCGAGAATTTTGTCGGAGATTTTTGCGGCAAATTGCAGAAATTAATATTATTAATCGTTTCAATATGTTGATAATAAAGATAATAATTCGTTTGTTCTGACAAACCTTTATTACATAACGTTCTGATAAAATTTACTTTACCTTCACTAAGTGGCTTCATCTGAAATTACTCGTAGTAAACAATTCACAGACAAAAGAATGATTATAGAAACGTGTTTGTGATAGTCTGTGTTTGCTGACAGTTTCATTCTTCATCATTTATTCGCTGTCCTGTCTTCGACGACACGTGTAAAACTATAAACATTGCTTCAATTTTGTAAAAGATTCTGTACACTGTTAATACTCATGAAAATGAACCGTTACGTTTTATTCATCAGTCATCTCGTATAATTACTATTACTTAATTCTTATCGATCGATTAAAATATTAGCCGTATTATGGCTTTCTAGAGGTCTTCTAATGAGAGTCGCGCCACTAAACAGTCAATTTTAATTGGTCAGTCATTTTTCAACAAATCCCGCCTATATTCGAATGTTTGTATTGTAGGAATAAAATTGTATCGAATACGATGCGCATATCGATACGCTAAAAATCGCAAACTAACCTTGAAAAATCAATTTTTCCAAAAGGCCATTTGATGAGGCCATTTTAAACCGATATCTTTTGATAAAGAATTTTTTTTTACAAGGCTTCGAATCGATATAATCGATTTTTATTAGTGTTCTGATACAAATATCGCTTATTCAAGTTGTATATATATTCATAATATTGTTAAAATCAAACAAAACAAGATTAAACATTTTAAAGTTATTATCATTTCTTGTGTAATACACATGTAATGACAAAAATTGAGTTTCGAGAAAACAAATAATTCCAAAGGACAGCTACCTGAGTACAATACTATCTTTTGGAATAAAAAATATATGATCACCATGATACATTAAGTGAAAGAAAATAATTTATAATAATTATTTTTAACAAAACGCTACATTTTCTTATAATGAAGCTATACAAATATGTTACTTAACCTCGCAGAGATATGCATTTATGCGTTGGTGTCTAATTTTTTCCAATATTTATTATCCATAATGCATGACGTTTAGCATCACATGGAAATATTTTTATTACATAGCCTTTATTACGTAGCTGTAGAATTAATGCAAAATGAGCGCTGCACGCCCGACCATTTTGCAATTATTTTTAATAATCTTCTAATAAATCGCACTAATCTTCAAGATTAGAAAGATATATTTCGATCACGTTCTTTTGCTAAGCTACAGGCGCCAAAAAAATATAAAGATCATCTCCAATTTTTTGCAATTATGTGATTTTTTAAAATATAATTTCTGTAATTATTTTCTTTATATAAAAGTATTAGATAGATATCAAGAAACAGATGTCAAGAAAAAATAGTTCATGAGGCATGTTACACTTTTTTCTGGCACACATTAAAAATATATTGTAAATTATTAATTTTTTGATCACTCTTACCTTTTTACGATATAATAAGTTGAGGTAAAGAAAACACAGTTGCTTTAAAAAAAATTCATAAGTAAAATGGATGTTTTATTAATAACTAACTATTCTTTACACCAATTGATTCGTCTCATTATTCTGTTTATAAGAGTATAAAGGTATGATTACCAAAAAGTTAATAGTATAAGAAATTTAAAGAAAACAGCCACAACAGAGAAGCTATCAGCGTCAAAGTTGTGTGGCTCGGTGGCAAGACGGAAGTCTATCAATATAGAGGAGACCAGACTTCAATTCGAATCCCGGAACGTCCTGATATTTTTCTCGTGTTGTCACTTATTTCTTACAATAGTGTACGAGATATTTAATATTGCATGTTGTTCGAGAGCGCGCGAAGAGAGCGATCAAGCACAATTAATAGATAGTAATGTTGCAGTACAAAAAAGGAAAAACGCAGTTTTAATTCACAAAAGGTTTATGTATAATAAGAATTTTATTTTAGACCGCATATATGAGAACACAAATAATACTAGAAATTAAATGTTTATAATGATCGAGGCTCTTTAATGGATGCTTTAGGAATCTTTAATGTTATAAGTATTTAATTTCTATATACAATGTCAAGTTTACAGATAGTGTTGTAACTTTAAAAACACTTGCGCAAAGTGAAAAATTCCTTCACGAGAAATGGCATTTTACGAAGCGACTTTCTCGATGAAAACGAACTGAGAAATGCGTTATTCGTCGCGATCAGCGAATTTAAGAATGCGATCAGACAAAGCACCTCTCAGTCAATTATGAATAAAATTTCGATAAAATCAAATTGTTGAGGTGTTCCCTCAGTATCCATAGCTATTGACAGATCAGATTGTTT